CCCTTTAATGTTTTCAGCTTTTTTCTTTTTACATAGAAATAGTTGTAGTTCTCGTTTCTGTAGAATTAAAACCAGAGGAAGCAAGTATTCAGTGTAGGTTGTGACGCAGACATGTCACTATATCCTCTTGATTTATATCCAGCAGCAGAGACAGTGTTTTTTATTTCGTTTTTAAATTTGTTGGTTATTTGGAGAAATGGGATCATTAAAAATAGTTTTAGGATTTGCTAAATGTCCGGTTTGACTGGTATTATAAACAATGGTTTTACTTCAGCCAACAACAAAAATAGCTATGAAAATTTCCCAATTTTTTTTGTTCTTAATTCATATGATTATCAGAGGCAGTGATTTTTCTTCTTTTTTTTTTTACAGCACGAATATCTTTCAGATATTCAAGAAAAAAATCTAAAATATTTGCTAAGAGTTTGCTTAAACTACGTTATCACATTTAACTACTATTTTAAGAAAAAAACTGATCCAGCATCTGGTTGTGAATATTGTTTAAATATACATTTCTGAATATACATTTTTTTAAGGTATACATTTTGTTTTATATTACTTGCGTTTTTATTTGTTCATATGATGTGTTTGCTTCATGAAACATTTTATTTGAATTTATTTAATTGATAAATTATAATAAAATAAGAACACAGTATTCAGGATTTGTTGGTTATTTAGAGAATTCCAAGTGTTTCCTAAATTTTAATATATATATGTGTAATCATTTTATTGGATAGTTGTCTATTTAGAAAACACAACAAAATTATAATAAAGTGTTTTGTTTTTTTTTGTATTTTATAAATGTGTTATTCACACTAGTTTATTTTTTTGTGTTTTCTCTAGGTTTCTCTGGTTAAATAAAGCTATATTGAGAAGTGTAAAAGTAAAATATGAGTTGGTAGGGCATCGGTCTATGTAATTTACCCGCTATGTGGTAGTCTGAACAGTGTGGCTGACATTGGCTTTACCATTTGACAGATTTCAAAAGCAGACTCAGTCAGGATGAAACAGGTCTGATTAGAGATAATGCTGTGTGCCTGTGTGATGATGATGACGAAACCGGCTGACAGCTGGGCTCCATGCACAGACGACATTGTTTGTGGGCGGGAGGTAAACACAAACCTCAACATCTGTGGCAGCAGGAAGTGAGTGCACACGCACTCCTCTCTTGTTCTCAGAATGAGTGAGAGCATTACCTCTGATTTTCCCCTGCGTCTGTCTGAAGTGTGTGCGCACGGCCCATCTGAGATTTCAGAGACAAGGGGACTTCTCTGCACCTGCAGCCTGAAGACCTCTGTCTCTCTCTTTCTGTCACACACACATGCCTGTAAGCGGGTAACTGACATAATTACATATGCATGAACCGTTCTTCCCCATCATTTAAGGATAACGTTTATATAAATGTAGAAGGGAAAGTTTATTTTTAGATGCTATGACTTGTCAACATTTCCTATGGAAGCTGTGTTCTGCCTCAGTAAATATAAGACTATTTCTCAAAATTGTAATTTTATATCTTAGTGTAATTTAATCTTTATTTTAGAATTTGTCCTGCTTTCTTCTAATGGGGATTGACAAATATAAGTGAGCTGTTTATTGGTTGAATTCCCTGCTCTGTTACTTTCAAAAATATTGGTATTTTATGGCTAAGCCAACAATGTTATTTTGAGGCGGGACTAGTTAAGGACTAGTAGTAGAGAAGGGGAGTGTTCAGGACACCTGCTTGAAAACAGTCATTATTTTGCAGTTATCTTTGATGGATGCAGAAATTAAGTTTTCATGTGAGAAAATAGTGTTTTCCTTCAACCAACAACAAAACTGACTCATTTTTTTTCTTATATTTTAAATTTATATCCAGTGTCAGAGTTGAAGTTTTCTTTTCTTTTCTTGACATCACAATTATTTGCAGATTTTCATGAAAAAAGCTTAAATATACCCACAGTTTGCTTTGTGATTTTTTTTTTTTTTTACAATATCCATGTTTTGTTTTGCTTAACTTTTTCCTTAAGTATTTTTTCTGCAAAGTTTCATTGAATAATTTATTTCAATTAAAAATAAAATATGTAACTGAGCCATTTATCGGTTTACTTCCAAAATTTATTTTTTATTTTTTATTTTTTTATAAATAAATAAACATTTTATTCGGGTGGCCTGACATGCCAATAACCAATTATCTTACTTTGTGACGGGACTATCTGTTTATTTCACCAATGGCAAACAAGGAGGGCATTTGGAAAAACCTGCTTGAAAACAGTAATTGTCACTGCTGGATGTTTTTTTTTTATGTTAAAAAAGTCCTGCAGTTTAAAACATCTTAAAGGGGTCATATGATGCGATTTCAATTGAGCAGTGTAGAGTAGCACTTGTTGTTTGTCATTTCTCCGATCACAAATGCATACATGGTTTTATGTTTACGTGGCGCGATGCAACGCAACGCGTAAAAAGTATGTCTTTATAATCTGTATATACTGTAATATTACACCAAATACACAAAATACTGTTCTTTTTAGCAGCATCATATGACCCCTTTAAGTATCCCATGCAGTCTTTCCAGGAATATGAGAACACAAAAACTTCATGCATAGTAGTTATACATAGAAAGAATGGTGTTTAAAATAGCTATATATGTTGTGTAGCATGTCACAGCAAAGCTGTCATGAAAACTGCCAGAGGAACTCACTGACTTCCTTATAGGATATGAAGAAAATATGCAAATATGTTCACAGCATTCACAAACCTCTGTAGTCGGGGCTTGTCTGTCTGCAGGCCGAGTTTGTGTGTGTGTGTGTGTGTGTGTGTGTGTGTG